CTGTAGTCGTTAAGTCCCGTTATCTTGGGTTTCTTTGGAACGGGGATGATGGTGGAGCATTTGAAGCAGGAAGGGAATTCACACAACTCCAGAGATCTATTGAAGATCTGTGAAAAGATGGGGGCCAGCTGGTCAGCACAGGCTTTCAGACAGGCTGGTGTCACACCGTCTGGGCCTGGTGCCTTTCTTCTCTTGTTCTTCTTGAAGACCTGGCGCAAATCATCTTCACTGATCTGAAGTGCAGGAGTGGGGGAGAGGGGGGGTTACAGGAGGTGTTAATGGTTGTGTAGAGAGATGGTCAGAACGGGTGTGGGGGGTTTCGAATCTACAATAAAACTCATTCAGGTCTTCAGCAAGTTGTTGATTCGCCTCAGTGCTGGGGGATGGTGTCTTGTAGTTGGTGATGACTTTCAGACCTTTCCAGTCATTGGAAGTGAACTGATCTTACAACTTTTTAGCATAGCTCCTTTTAGCCACTCTAATCTCCTTATTCAGTGTGTTCCTGATTGTACAAGACTCTGTCCCCATTTCTGTAGGCATCCTCTTTGGCCTGACGAAGATGTCTGAGTGGGACAGAGTGATATGCATCCTTTATTGCTGTGTAACAGTGATCCAGTAAATTACTGTCTCTGGTGGGACATGCAGCATGCTGTTTGTATTTTGGCAGTTCACGGGAGAGATTTGCTTTATTAAAGTCCCCAAGAATGATTAAAACAGAGTCTGGGTGTTGTTGCTCTGTCTCTGTGATCTGATCAGTGAGTTTTTGCAAAGCCAGGCTCACGTGCGCTTGCGGAGGAATGTAAACACTCACGAGAATGAACGAGTGAAACTCCCGCGGCAAATAGAATGGTTTACAGTTTATGAAGAGCGCTTCTAGATTGGGACAGCACATCTTCTTTAACACTGTTACATCTGTACACCACCTTTCATTGATGTAGAAGCAAGTCCCGCCACCACACGATTTCCCCGTTGATTCTGCGTTGCGGTCCGCTCTGAACAGCTGAAAGCCCGGCAGAT